CCCACTCCCTTAATCTACAACCTATGGATTTCATGTAACCTTCCTCCTTTGATTCTGATGTATAAAATAAGTTGCAAAATGGCCATTTTCTAAAGTATTTTTTCAATTCTTTGAGACTTTGCTTCCCAGCAATTGTCATCAGTTTGGCTCAAATAAACTTTTTTTTTTTAATTGGGGAATTGGGGGATGGGAACAGCGCTGGGGAATTGGGGGAAGGGGAACAGACAAGTTGCTGTCTTTTGTTCTTCAATCTAGTTGTGGAGGACGTTGCTTCACTGGCCCAAGTTGGCACCATCATTGCGCTCTTCCCGGGCAAGGCAGATCAGTCGCCGGCTTCTGGACGGCCGCTCACACTGGCTGCTGGCCACACACAGTAGCCCATGGCAACCCACTACAGCAGGGGCTGCAGCCTATGCCGCCGGCAGCGACTCATGGCAGCCCAGCTCCAGGTAGAGCTGTTGTTCAGCATCTTAGCTGTAGAGGGCAGTGTCACTGGCCCTCATATGTGGGATCCGAACCGGAACCCTCTGGCCAGCTCTTAACCAATGCGCCACTTGGCTGGCCTTCAAATAAACTCTTATAGCTTTTTTCTTAGGCTGGATATTTTTCATAGACTAAGCCCTGGAGGCAGGTAGTTCTCCTTTTTTCAAAATAAATAGTTTGGGTTATTCTGCTACTTTGAATTGTCATTCAAATTTTCAAAATATTTTGTCAATTCTTATTAAAAATATTGTGACTTTGATTCAAATTATAGTTAAAATTCTATACATTAATTTGGGAAGAGTTGACATTACCACTGTATTGAGTCTTTCTGTCCATGAGCAGAGCACACTACTATGTTTATTAATGTCTCCTTTACTCATTAGTGCTTTTTTCATAAGTGTTTTGTGGTTTTGGCATACAGACTCTGCTAAATTTATACATAATTGTTTCAAATTTTTTGGTGCTACTGAAAAAGGTCTATTTTAAATTTTCAATTTCCAATTGTTCATTGCTAGTATATAGACATGCAATTGATTTTAAAATATTAATACTTATTTGCTAATCTCACTTATCTGTTTTCATAGTTTTTTTGTAGATTCCTTTGGATTTTCTACTTAGACAGTTGTCTATGAATAAAGACAGTTTTATTTTTTATTTGCAAGCTCTTTGCCTTTATTCTTTTTTTCTTCCATTATTGCACTACCTAGAATGACCAGTAAAAGTAGTTATAGGGAGCACTTCTGTCTTGTTCCTGATTTTAGGAAGAAAGCATTAAGTCTTCCACCAATAAATATATTTTAGCTATAGACATTTTGTATATCTATTTTACCAGGTTGAAGAATAGTTCTTTTATTGAATGAATTAATATTGAATTATGTCAAATGTTCTTTTCTGCATCTAGTGAAATCATCATATGCTTGTCCTTCTTTAATCTATTAATATGGCTTATTATATTGATGAATTCTAAATATTGAAACAGACTTCTGTTTCCCACAGACTAAACCCCACATTTTGCCATTTTTGCATATTGCCAGGCTCACTTTGCTAATATTTTTTTAAAATATATGTTTATGTTATTGGTCTGTAGTTTTATTTCCTTATAATGTCTATGGTTTGGATTTTTGGGTAATGCTGGCCACATAAATTGAGTTGGAAAGTATTCCCAAAACTTCTTCATTGTGGAAGAACTTCTGCATAATTGAAATTATTTCTTCCTTAAATGTTTGGTATAATTCACCAAAGAAACTTTCTAGGTCTGAAGTTTTTTTGTTTTGTTTTGTTTTTTTGTTTTTTTTTAAAGATTTAATTGGGGAATTGGGGGATGGGAACAAACAAGTTGCTGTCCCTTTGTTCCTCAGTCTAGTTGTGGAGGACGCGACTTCACTGGCCAATGTTGGCATTATGATCATTGCGCTCTTGCCAGCTGAGGCAGTCAGTCACCGGTCATTGGACGGCCGCTCATGGCAGCTCACAGCAGCTCACAGCAGCTCACGGCAGCTCACAGCAGTTCATGCTGGCTGCCAGCCACTCACGGTAGCTCATGGCAGCCCACTGCAGCAGGGGCTGCAGCTTAACGGTTGATGGCGACTCATGGGAGCCCTGTTCCAGGTTGAGCTGTTGTTCACCATCTTAGCTATAGAGGGCTCAGCATCACCGGCCCTCATATGGGATCCAAACCAGGGCCTTGCTGCTCAGAGCTGGCTTCCGAAGCCAACTCTTAACCAACGCACCACTCGGCTGGCCCTAGGTCTGGAGTTTTTTTTGTTTGAGGAATTTCACCTACAAATTATTTTAGTTACGTATTCTTCCCAACTTTGTTACCATTTCTTCTTCCAGTTGAATTCAGTGTTGCTCCCCTGCTGCCGTAGTAACACAGAAAAGGATTTAACACCTGTGCATTAGGGGCCATTATAGCCCCTAATGGAAGTTGTGATGTCTCCCCTGCTACTCAAAGGTGGCAGAAGAAACTAGCCTACAGATGGCTGGAGCAGCCAAGAGTATTTTTCTCCTTTGGCCCCAGGCCAGTGGCATCCCCTTCAGTGCATTTGCCTCAGTGTCCAGAAAGACCTTGAGCTCAGGGACTCTGCTTTTGCCCTCAGCAATGCCACCCCTACCCTCAGAACCACTGTCCCCACAGGACAAAGCAGAATGGTGATATGGGCATCTGCATTCAACAGAGCTTTAAATTTTGAGTTCCTCCTAGAGTGAGCTACTCAGACCTGTGTGCCCAGAGTTTCCTGATTTTTCCACTAAAAGTCCAGGATCCCTGGAACCACCTCAATCCCAGTAAATTGAGTGGTTGGTCACCTTTGTCCCTACCCCCACTAAACTTTCCTAGTTCATTCCGCTTTGTTCTAAAGTAGCTGAGGCAGGAGGAAGAAGAGGAGTGTGAGGGGGAGGGACATTAAGGGCTTACTAGGAAGTGAGGCTTCTCAACAGGAAGCAAGGTTTGGCGGTTTCCAGAGGCTTCCTATAATTCACAATAAACTCTTCCTCCAAAGTCCTCCAGCCCCTTGTGGATAGCACTAAAGTCAGCATTGGAGACCCTGTGACTCAGCAGTCACAGCCTTATCACCTTTCAGCCAGGGTGAACCAGGCAGGAATGTTAGGGCCATGTGCATAGATGAAGAAACCTGAAAGAAGGCTTAGAATAGATCCAGAGGGTCCCCTTTCAACTTTTGGTGGAGACAGTTGTTTAGGATATGGTAGAAGAACCAAATGGTGCTTACCTTGACTGTCACCCTCAATGCCTGTCAAAGTTGTTGGTGCTCCAAAATCTTGTCATGAAAGTTTTAAGGGTCCTCCACAGGTATCCAATAATGGTCAGACTTAATGGTAATGATTGGGGTGGAGAATTAACAGGTACAAAAGCCTTAATCCTCTGAGAAAAAAACAGTGTTGACGAGAACTATTTAAGAGTTGTCACATCACAACTCTGTGGTGAGAAGATATGATCCAATGTGCAGATTCATGAGGACAGAAAGCCATTTCTTCCTGCTCCTGTTCCACTGATTAGGTATATTCTCATCAAGTCTCCCCTCTCTTAGTGACTCTTCCCCCTCAGCATATAAAAATACTCAGAAATCTCATTAACAAACATGCAACAACAAAAAATAATAAAAATAACAGCAGCAAAATCATCTAAACTCCAAAATATCTTGACTATTACATTCCTCTAGCTTTCACCCAGTATCTTTTAATTCACAACCAAAATTCTGTAAGGAATAACATGAAGTCTAAATATCTACATCTTACCCTCTCACTTTCCCTTCACCCCTAAACTTACTGCAGTTGATTTTATACTCATAGAATTTCACTGAACGTTCAGTTGACCTATTTTATCCCCTTTAAGCAATTTTTCAGTTGGGTATCTATGCCATTCTGTAAAAACTGAGATTCTTTGGCTTTAAATTTCAGAAACCTCAAGTAAAAATGAAGTCATCTATAAGGAAATTCTATTCTCAAATAACTTAGCCACACCCCTTAATAAGACAACCCAATATATGGAGGCTCCATGGTTGATTAGCCATCAGTTTATAAGTCATCAAGGGCACTGTTGCTTTTCATTTTTAATTTTACCATGTTCAGACTTCATGTGTATCATGTGTGTGTGTGTGGGGGGGGGTAAGAGCAAAATCACACATGCCAATGTCCATTCAGAGTAGGGAGACTGTTTCTCCCCATCCACTTTTAAGAGCCTGAAAACTTTTTCCAGAAATCTTTTAGTGGCCCCTCCTAACACAGGTTACATACCCATCTATAAATGATTCAAAATCAAGGGTGAAAAGACACCCATTTTCCTAGGAGTTCCTTAATAGAGAAGATCTTACTTGGGTTTAGGCCCCATGCCCACCTATAAATGAATCAATCTCACAGGGAAATAAACCATTATATGGGCCTAGACTAATCAGAATTTACCTAGTTCACATAGAAAAGAGATAGACAGAGTTCTTCTGACAGCAAGGAAGTGGGAGGGGGGCAATGTTTTTTTGGTGGACAACCAATAATGATGGCTGTATACTTTTTACTGGATTTCCTGCTTCCATTACAATTGTTCAAACATCCCATCTTCTGCTCATCCTTTAAGTATTCATATTAATAGAGCTGTTCAGGCCCTATCTCCAGTCATTTTCTTCCTCCCAACTCTTCACTCATACCTTTGGGTCTACCACTGTATGCTCTTGACTTTGAAATCTATTTTTCTACAAGAGATCATTTACCTGTGTTTGAACTGATATCAGCTTGGACAGACAAGGCAAAAAATCTAAACTAATTACTCCTCTTCAAACACACACACACACACACACACACATACACACACACACATACTCACAGGCATACATACTCACACACATGTGCACATGACGATACACAGGCATATGGACAAGATCCAAATCTTTACTTTTGATTTTAGCTTCTGTTGAATTTATTCAGCATAACCACTGAGGTATTGTCTTCATGCTGCCACACACAGAGCACAATGTCCATATTTAGCCCAAGTGTATTCCTTCTAAGTCTCATTTATATATCTTCACATGCCACAGGCCATCATTTAAACAATGGATATTTTCAATACCAATCCCTTTGTTGACTTTCTCAATATCTTCTGCAGACATTTGCATGACTCTGACACACAGAGCATGCTGTTTTCCTTCTTCCATGATTGCAACAATCGTATCCACTGCAGCAGAGTAAAGCTTGGCTCCGGGAGAAGTTAAGCCTGGACACATGATATTTGCTCCACTGAGTACAAATTTGATGGCTCCTTTATCAACTTGCTGGCGTGGCAGGATAAAAGGGTATTTGTGAAGCAGCCTTAGAGTTGGATAAAATGGCCCTTCTCTTTGTCTGAAAAATAGTAACTCTCCATTTACTGTAAGGATGTCTATATGTTCGTGGCATCGCACTATTTTGACTGGATCTTTCTTAGGCATGATTTGATTAAGCCATGGATCAATGTCTGGAAACTGCTCTGTCAACTGGTTCTTAATACCCTTAATAACTGACGTTTTCAACTGGATGCAGTTGGACACATTTTCTTTTTCATCAAATTTCTTGAACATGATCCAAGGTGAAGGGGGTAACAGTAGAAAAGGGCCTGGAATGAAAAAAAAACTGAATTCGCGAGAGCTGGGTAGAGACACTAACACGAGGAAGGCCGGCAGAGTCTGTCTGACTTTGTGTCGTGAACTGGAAAGGGACTTGCTTTACGGCTCTCCGTAAAATTACTTCAGCTCCTCTGAACTTGGTGTTGCTTTTGATGGCAGTCTGGGGCTGCGGATTCCCTTCCACCACAGGTAGGTAACCAGGCTGGGCTTGAGAAAGAAGAAAAGTTAAAACAATCCTTGTTGCAGGAAGAGAAGGATGGAGGGGGCCTGTCTTTTATTTTTATTTTTATTTCTGGGAAGCCGCATTACCATCCACTTACCCAAGCCCGAAACCAGGGAACGACTCCTGGCTGATAGGCTTCTCCTGCCTCCCCACTGTCACTAAGAGGGGTCGAGTCCTGTTCATTGTTCCTCTTCCACATCTCTCACAATCTTTCACTGCCCTCACGCTCTGTGACATTGTTGAGCTCAGGTCTGTATAATGGCAAGCCATTGCTACCTGTCACCCTTGAATGCAACCTAGTCCCTACCGTGCTCTCTCCACCGGCACCCAGAGAGGAGAGGCTTTGCGGCAGGAGGGATGCAAATGTTGGATTTCAATCCTTTTTTTCTTTTTTTTTAAGATTTTTATTGGGAAATTGGGGGGATGGGAACAGCGCTGGGGAATTGGGGGAGGGAAACAGACAAGTTGCTGTCCTTTTGTTCTTCAGTCTAGTTGTGGAGGACGTCGCTTCACTGGCCCAAGTTGGCACCATCATTGCGCTCTTCCCGGGTGAGGCAGATCAGTCACCGTCTTCTGGACGGCCGCTCACTGTGGCTGTTGGCCGCTCACGCTGGCTGCTGGCTACACACCGTAGCCCATGGCAACCCACTGCCACAGGGGCTGCAGCCTATGCCGTCGCAGGCGACTCTCGGCAGCCCAGCTCCAGGTTGAGCTGTTGTTCAGCATCTTAGCTGTGGAGGGCAGTGTCGGATATGTGGGATCCGAACCGGGGCCCTCTGGCATCCCAAGCCAGTTCTTAACCATCGCGCCACTCGGCTGGCCCGGATTTCAATCCTTTTAAACGTATCCAAACTCATTTTATGGCCCAGAGTACAGTCTGTTTTGATGAGTGTTCCAGGTGCTCCTAAAAAGAATGAGTATTCTGCTTTATTTGGGTCCAGTGCGCTCTGCTCATGCCAATGATGCCCCATTGGTGGACAGAGTTGTTCAGGTCTCCTCTATACCTTACTGATTTTCTGTTTACTCGTTATCAGTTACTGATCAGCATATTGAAATCACAGCACATTGAAACTATGATTATGCATCTATTCCCGTTACGGTTCCATTAGCTTTGTATTCATATATTTTGAAACTCCATTTATTACATCCATACCCATTTAAGATTGATATGGAAGTCACCTTGTTAATTAGGATTTTACTTGTCATCCTAAGAAGTGTGAGGTCCATGAGGGCAGGAATTATGTGTCTTACCCCTATTTTTTCACTTAGCAGAAAAGCTGTTTCGTACTACATACACAATAAGTGACTGATAAATGAATGAAAAAATGCTTCCTCTTCCCACAGATCTGGTTCCTTTCTTTTCCTGCCAGTGGGTGAAAAGAATAAGCACAAATTCTTGTTATCTGGACACTTCTCCTCTCCAGTAAACACATGCTTAAATTAGAACAGGTGCTGGATATACAGTGGAAAAGTCACATACATTTCCACATTCTTGGAAGCTTCTACCTATATTATGTATTTCTGCGTATGTGTATAAGTGTGTGTGTGTGTGAGTGTGTGTGTTTTAATTATGAGGAATTGGCTCACACAATTATGTTGGCTGAGAAGTTCTAACATCAACAGTCAACAAGCTAGAAACCCAGGAGAGTCAATAGTATAATTCAGTTTGAGTCCAAAGACCCGAGGATGGGGAGAGCTAATGGTATAAATTGTAGTCTGTGTCCAAGTCCGAAGTCAGGAGAAGACCAGTGTCATAGCTCAGAAGTGATCAGGCAGGAGGAATTCTTTCTTACTCGGGAGAGTTATCTTTTTTGTCTTATTCAACTGGTTAGATGAGACCTGTCCACATTAGGGAGGGCAGTCTGCTTTATTCTACTAACTAATATGTTAATCTCATCCAGAAATACCTAGAATAATGTTCAACCAAATATCTGGGTACCTGGGGGACCAATCAGGTTGTCACATAAAAATAACCATCACAAGGGTACACCATCTTAAATGAGTTACAGTGGGGTGTTCACGTGTGCTGACCCTAGAACCCAGGTAAGACTTGCTCCCTACTTACTAGATTGAAATCCTGGCAGTTACTGAACTTGTCTGTGTCTTAATTTATTCATCATGAATGTCTGGTTAACAAGAATACCCATCTCCTGGGGGTGAGGGTGAGAATTGCTTGAATTAATGCTTAGAAAAGTTGAGTTTAAGTATTTCACATAGCTATTATTAAATCAACAGAAAAAAGTTACATAAATATTTTAATAGTCTTTTCATACAGAATATAGTACAGCTGGCCAAAGATTTCAGCTTTCCTATTTATGGCTGAGTCTCTGATCTGAATGCCTGAGACTTCCCTCCAGTCAGTTTGGTCCTGTGAAGAGTCACACATTTCCAGACACATCTCTGGTTATTTTATAAGCAGCTAACCTTGCCCATTATGTATGGGTTTTATGTGTTTAACTCTTAGAAGATGATGCTTTTTCTTTAGTTCTTAGGGGTTGTTGCATTGTTCCTATATGTGAAGTCAGTATTGTATGAGCAGCATAAACCAGATGTCACAGAAATTCAAGAGAAGAAAAGTCATTACTGGCTAGAATGTCCAGAGAGACCTGTCTGTAGATGACCAGTAGCTTAACCAGAAATGATCTGATCTGGAAAAGGCTATCAGAGAAATGCCCAAGGGATTTTTTTTTTAAGATTTTTATTGGGGAATTGGAGGATGGGAACAGCGCTGGGGAATTGGGGGAAGGGGAACAGACAAGTTTTGTCTGTCATTTTGTTCTTCAGTCTAGTTGTGAAGGACGTTGCTTCACTGGCCCAAGTTGGCACCACCATTGCGCTCTTCCCGGGAGAGGCAGATCAGTCGCTGGCTTCTGGACAACCGCTCACTGTGGCTGCTGGCCGCTCACTCTGGCTGCTGGCTACACACGGTAGCCCATGGCAACCCACTGCAGCAGGGGTTGCAGCCTATGCCTTCACCTTCGACTCATGGCAGCCCAGCTCCAAGTTGAGCTGTTGTTCAGCATCTTCACTGTAGAGAGCAGTGTCACTGGCCCTCATATGTGGGACCCAAACCCGGGCCCTCTGGCATCCCAAGCCAGCTCTTAACAAATGCGCCACTCAGCCGGCCCCCCAAGGGATTTTTTTAAAAGATTTGTATTGGGTAATTGGGGGGATGGGAACAGTGATGGGGAATTGGGGGAAGGGGAACAGACAAGTTGCTGTCGTTTTGTTCTTCAATCTAGTTGTGGAGGATGCTGCTTCACTGGCCCAAGTTGGCACCATCATTGCGCTCTTCCCTGGCGAGGCAGATCAGTCGCCGGCTTCTGGACGGCTGCTCACTGCGGCTGCTGGCCGCTCACTCTGGCTGCTGGCTACACACGGTAGCCCATGGCAACCCACTGCCACAGGGACTGCAGCCTACGCTGTCGCCAGCGACTCACGGCAGCCCAGCTCCAGGTTGAACTGTTGTTCAGCTCTTAGCTGTGGAGGGCAGTGTCACTGGCCCTCATATGTGGGATCCGAACCGGGGCCCTCTGGCATCCCAAGCGAGTTCTTAACCATTGCGCCACTCGGCCGCCCCCCCCCAAGGGATTTTTTTAATGAAGCTATTTTAGACAAAGGACTTTAGGAAAGTTTAGTCTTGAGTTCCATAGCAATGAAAAATCTTTTGGAAGCTAATAATCATTTTTATCTGAAATCATACTCAGTTCTGTACAATAACTCTTTTCCAGGGTCAACTTTTTCTTAGCCCACAAGCATCTATTTGCTGTTTACCATGAAAAGAATACCAAATGCTAGTCTCTGCATCTAAATTCTTCAGTTAAAAAATGAAAAACTTGGGCCAGCCAAGTGGCACGTTGGTTAGGAGTTGGCTTGGGACGCTAGCTCTGAGCAGCAGGGCTCCAGTTCAGATCCCACATGAGGACAAGTGACGCTGTGCCCTCTACAGTTAAGATGGTGAACGACAGCTCGACCTGAAGCTGGGCTGCCGTGAGTTGCCGTGAGCAGCCGTCCAATGGCCAGCGAGCAACTGTCTCACTCCAGAAGAGCACAATGATAATACCAACATGGCCAGTAAAGCAACGTCCACCACAACTAGACTAAAGAACAAAATGACAGCAACTTGCCTGTTCCCCTTCCCTGATTCCCCAATGCTGTTCCCTCCCCCAATTCCCCAATAAAATCTATTTAAAAAAATGAAAAACCTTTTTTTAGACTTTCTAAAATCTTACCTCTGAAATGGGGCCTGGTTCTTGAACTTTATAAAAGAACACAGAGCTTTGAGGTTGACCTGTGTTAGCATATGAAAAAATATGATGTGTAAATGTTGCTTAAACTAATATGTTAAGACATTAAAACACTACCACTTTCTTTTGGTTAAATAATTTGAAATCAATTCAAAATTAATTAACCATATGGATTTTTAAAAGAAGAAGGAAATTTAAGGCACCAAACTCTGTTTCAGTTCTGGGGCGTACTGCTTCCTAAGTTTTATTAACCTCCTTCAGTATCACTTTATTTCCTTGTGAAATCTGAATAATACTGTATATACTTCACAACGTATATGAGGTGATTATAAGAAATAAAAATACAGTGTATAAAGGACTTAATAGTAAGAAACAGGAAGTACATTAATAGTGCTTTATTTATTTGCAAAATACCCTTTATGCGGTAGTTATAAGGTCTAAGATTATACTATTTATGTAAAAATTTTACAGAAAATTACTGTAGCTTTGGATAATTACTAAGTCAAATAGTCAAGTGA